GATGGGTTTTCCTTTATAGGTGATCTGTTTCTTTTCTCTGACAGCTTTTAATATTCTGTTTTTGTGATGAACTTCTGGGATCTTGATTACTATATGTCTGAGTATAGCTCTATTTTGGTTGTAGGTGACTAGAGTTCTGTATGCCTCATATATCTGAATGTCATTTCCTTTTTCTATGCTTGGGAAGTTTTCCTTAATTGTTTCTGTGAATAGCCTTTATAGTTCATTAGTGTTTACTCCTGCTTCTTCACTCATTTTTTTTTCTTAAGTTATAGATCCTCTTGTCAGCTTCTAGCCTTTGTATTGTTACTTCCTGGCTCTTTGTTATTTTTAAGAGATCTTTTCTTTCACAATCACACATTGCAAATCTATCTTCAAGTTTTTAAAGTCTAACTGTAGTTTCTGTCAAGGAATTTTGCCAGCTTTCAATGGAGTTTTTAATATCCTGGTAATCTCTTTGGATCTGTTTCATTTATTCTAGATTTTGTTTATATTCTTCATCAAAGGTTTCTCTCCTTTTTCTGGGTTCTTCCATTCTTCCATCTGTGTCTTCTTGAGTGGGGCTTAGCATTTCTTTTATTAATCTTTTTATATCATGCCTCACTCAAATTAGAATTTCAGTTTTAAGTTCATCAATGAGGCCACAAAAGTATTTCTTTGTGTCTGCTGATGCTGTGGCCAATATTGCATGATTGCTGCCCTCAGTCTCTTTGTATGTACCTCTCCTGGACTTATTTTCCCTGGGTCAGCAGCTGGAGGCTTTTTCTTATTTCTTTCTCTTTTTATGTTTCTGGCTTCTTTCAGACAGGTATAATGTGGAGGTCTCAGGCCCTCTCTGTATTGCTCACAATTTTTCTGAAGCATGCTGACTAGGGGATTGCTGCCCACTCCAGTTTACTGTTGATCTGTGAGGCGCACACAGGGATGATGTGAGCTGTCCCCTCTCCTCTCAGCCAGTCAACCAGTGAGTGCCTTCAGCATGTTAGTCTGTGCCATGCAGACATCACAGGTTCAGGACAGTGTCTTCCCTGGCTATTGGGTCCTGACCAGGGGTGTGACCCAGCCCAAGCATATCTCACCAGTCCTCTCTGGGCCCGGGGTGGCAGACTGAAACCACTGCAGTTGCGGGTTCAGGCCCATGCTGCCCATCCAATATGTCCAGCAGGTCTCCCCCTCTGAGGAATCCAATTCCTAGCACTCACCATGGGTTAACACAGCTCTTCATGTTGGTTCTGCTCTCTATTGCATCCTCCCACAAAGGGCCCTGGGCTCACCAACCTCAGATTTCGGTGACCATGACTTCAGCATGACCGTGAATTGTCTGACTCCAAGGTACACCCAGCACAGCACGGGACCAACCCCATTGAAAGCATCTGGTTTCAGCCTTTTGTCCATGTTTTTCTTTCCTTCTTTTTTTTTTTTTTTTTCTTTTTCTTCAGTTTCTTCCTAGGTCATGAGAATCCCTCTCCTTTCATCTGGTCTTCTCCATGGTGTTAAATTCTAGCGTCTGAGTTGTTTTTCTCAGAGAGGCTATCTGGCCTACCTATCTAGCCGCCATCTTCCCACCAATGTCTTAAAATAAGATTGACTGGGGCTGGGGATTTAGCTCAGTGGCATAAGCACCTGACTTGTAAGCAGCAGTCATGAGTTCGATCCCCAGTACCAAAAATAATAATAATAATAATAAGATTGACTAAGTGTTTGTCTACTCTTCTCGATCTTTCAAAGAACCATCTCTTCAATTTATTGATTCTTTGCATTGTGTTTTTGGTCTCAATTTCCTTAACTTCTTTTTTTTAACACTTTTTTTTTCTTTTTTCTTTTTACCAGTACCGGGAATCGAATTCACAACCGCCTGCTTGCAAGGCAGGTGCTTATGCCACTGAGCTAAATCCTCAGCCCCAATTTCCTTAACTTCTGCCCTGATCTTTATAATTTCCTTTCTTGTTCTAGCTTTGTATTTGAGTTGTTCTTCCTTTTGAGGTGCATGATTAGGTTGTTTTGTGTAGTGTAGTGTAGTGTAGTGTAGTGTAGTGTAGTGTAGTGCAGTGTGTTCTGTTTTCCTAATGTAGATTCTTACTGCTATAAACATTCTTCTTAGGACTGCTTTCATTTTTGTCCCATGTATTCCCATATTTTGTGTTGGCATCATCATTTGATTGTAGAAACTGTCTAATTTATTCTTTAATTTCATTTATTACCTATTGATTGTTCAAGAGGGTATTATATAATTTCCATGCATGTGCTACATTTTTTCCTGTGGTATCTTTTGCCATTTTTTTTAAAGAGCAGAATATATTCATTAAGAGAAGGAAAGCTTCTGTCTGAGAGACAGAACAAGGGATTCTAAGTGGGTTCCTGAGGTTCTTTCCTTTTCTAGGGATTTTTATTGTTTTAGAAGTTGGGTACATTGGTGTTTGCTGTGTACGTATTTATAATTGTTAACTTTTCCTGTTGAATTGTTCCCTTAACCAGTATGTAGTGATCTTCTTTTTCTTTTGATCAGTCTTGGCTTGAAAAATCACTTATTTGAAATTATTTAGTGATTTCTGCTTTTTTTCTAGATTTCCATTGCATGAAATATTGTTTCCCATCCTTTGATTTTTAATTTGTAGGTGTTTTCTGAATTACATGTGTTTCTTTTTGAATTAAATATATACTGTATATTGTTGATTTTGTTTCTTGACCCTTTCTACCAATCTGTGTCTTCTGATTGGGCAGTTGAGTCCATTCACATTGAAAGTTATTACCAAGAGATATTGACTTTTCCTGTAATTACATTCTTTTTCTGTTGTTGATTTCCTTTTTCCCGTTTTGCTCATCCTGCCAGGTGTATTCATTCCTTTTGACATTTTGGCATTACTATCTTCATTGTATCTTTCTAAGAGCTTTAAATATTTTTTGTAATGCTGGTTTCATGGTCATGAGTTTCCTGAAGTACTCCTTGTTATGAAAATACCTCACATGCCCATAAAATATTTTTGAGACAGAATCTTGCTATATACTTCAGGCTGAGTGTGAGCTCCCTATGTGGTCTAGAGTGGCCTCAAACTCGTGGTGGTCCCCTTGCCTCAGCCTCCCAAGTGCCAGGATTACAGGCATGTTCCACTATGCCTGGCTTTTTCTTTTTTCCTTTCTGTTTTGTTTTTTGTTGATTGGTTGGTTGGTTGGTCAGTTTTTTGAAACAGATTCTCACCCACCATGGTTTAGGCTGGACTTGGACTCACTATGTAACCCAGGTTGACCTTGAACTCATATCAATCCTCAGCCTCCCAAGCACTGGGATTATAGGCATACACCATCACGACTATCCCCCATGCCCACTTTTTTTCTATCCATCAATTTTAAAGAAAAATTTTGCTATACATAAATTAGGTTTGGAATTGTTATATTTTAGAGCTTTTAGCACTGTACTCCAAACCCTCCTAGCCTTTAAAGTTTGTGTGAAGAAGTCTGCTGCGATCCATATCAATTACCTCTATATGTGATATGCCTCAAAAAATGAATAATATAGGGCCAGGAATTTAGCTCAGTGGCATAAGCACCTGCCTGGCAAGCACAAGTTTTGAGTTTGATCTCTGGTACAAAAAAAATAAAATTAATAATACATTTTTGAATTATCAATGACAGAAAAATTCAGGAAAAATTTAAATCCTATAATAAAATGATAACTGAATTACAACAGAGCTGTATAACACAAGGAAAGCAGTTCTAAAAAGGAAATTGATATCAATGAGTGCCTACATTCGAAAAATAAAATAATCCAAAATAAATAATTTGATGATACATCTCAAGATCCTGGAAAAATAAGAATAGTCCAAACCCAAAACCATTAAAAGTAAAAAATTATAAAGATCAGAGCAGAAATTAATGAATGAGATGTAAGAAAGATACAAAACTCAAGATATGAAAGATCTGGCTATTGAAGGTTAAATAAGATTGAAAAACTCTCAGCCAAACTCACCAAAAGAGAGAAAAGATGTAAATCAATAAAGTTAGAAATTAAAGAGGTGAAATCACAGCAAAACCCCCTGAAATACACAGGATTATAAAACACTATATAAAAATATGGGAGAAATGAACGCACATAATCCAATTGGACAAACAACAGACCCTTAACAAACAATAAAACTAATGTGATTATCAAAACCCTACCAAGTCAGAAAAACTTAGACCCAATGGATTCTTCCCTGAATTTAATTGAAACATTAAAGAAAAATTAATGGAAACACTCCAACTGCTCTTTGTCATTGAAATGGAAGGAAAATGTTCAAACTCATTCTATGAAACCAACTTTCCTGATACCAAAAATGCATGAAGACCAAAAAAAGAAAATTAGAGGCTATCTTAGTTTCTTTTCTTGTTGCTGAGACAAAATACCTGACATGCAGAATTAAAGGTTTATTTGGCTTATAGTTTGTAAAAGCTTCAGTCCATAATTGACTAGCTCCAAAGCAGTTTGGATTGGCAGAGGGGCATACAAGAGGAGAAACAGTTCATGGTGAGAGAAGATAGCAAAGCAACAAGGGAAGACAAGCCTCTTTCTGTCCCTTATATTGTGTGCAGGTTACCCATCCTCGGGCAGGTTTAGCACTCACACCCTTAATCCTAGCTAGAACTATGCCAAACCAGTCAGTGGGTTGATTTAATAATCACACGCTCTTAATCCCAGCATCACACTCTAGATTCAGTTACCTCTGAAAAAGCTCTGTGACTAACATGAAGCTTTGGGGGAATATCTAGACACAAACTGTAACAGAGGCTAGTATCCTTGAAGACCAAAAATAGAAAAATCTTCAAAAATTTGTTGGCAAACAACTCAAGAAATCGTTACAAAGATCATATAACATAATCAAGTTTGCTTCATCCAAAGATGTAAGGATGGTTCTATATATATATAAATCAATTAAAGCAAAACACTGCATAAATAGAATTAAGCTTAAAAGTCACATGATCATCTCAACAGATGCAAAAAAAAAAAGTGTCAAAATCCAGTCTCCTTAGCCCTAAATCAAGGCCTGCAGTTTGTTGCAGCTGCTGGTTTCAAACGGGAGCCTAAAAATAAGTCTTTCTAGGATCTGTTAGCCATTTCAGAACTTTGGAAATTTAATGGTCAATACATTAGAAAAAAATAGCTGAGAGCCCAACAGGGGACTGGAGAAGAAACCACACCCCAAGGCCTTGCTGCCAAGGGGGAACATTGGTAAACCACCACCCCATGCCTCTCAACCAATCCAGGAACCCCAGATGAGAGTAACCCAGGTGCCTGCTCCAGCCGCTACACTGAAGGAATGGCAGCCAATTCAAGAAACACCTTGGATGGAGCAATGGGCTGATTCAGAGAAACATAGGAAAATGTCAAGATGAAGGAACAAAACACAATCTCAGACCTCTAATCTACATGGTACAAGTTGAGGAGACACAAACAGGGCACAAACTGGAGGACATGCAACTGAAATTTCAAATTAGTTCTTTTATTGTTTGGTTAATTTTGCATGCCTATGTCTGATGGTCTGGGCATCTATTTTGAAGATAACAAGAGGCATTATAATAGCCATTGTTAATTTCATATTATCTTGTTTTGAACTCCAGTATCACTTTCACTGTTTGGTTTGGGTTTATTTGTGTTTTGTTTGGTTTTGTCTGATGGTCTGGACAGCTATTTTGAAGATGACAAGTTGTGTTATGGTAACCATTGTTGATTTCTTACTATCTTGTTTTGAAAAACTGTATCACTTTCATTGTTTTGTTTCATTTGGTTCAATTCTGTTTGTGTTTGGTTTTAATTTCTTTAAAATAAAATTTTTTCAAAATTCAATATCCTTCCATGATTAACACCTTACTGAAATAGATATAAACTAGGAATAGTGGCACACATCTCTAGGCCAGCCCTGAGGAATGATAGCATAGGACAATTGCAAGTTCAAGTCCCACCAGGACAATTTAGTGTGAGTCTGTCTCAAAATAAAAAAAAAGAGACTAAAGATGTAGCTCAGTGGTGCAATGCCCCTGTATTCAAATCCTAATACCAAAAACAAAGCAAAATAAAGAAGAGATAAAAGAGTGGAGGAGATAAAAGAAAGAAAGAAGAGAAGTACACAGAATGGGCAAGCATGATGATGATGGTGTATTCCTGTAATCTCAGTGTTGAGAGGCTGAGGCAGGAGGATGCTGTGAGTTTGAGGCCAGCCTATGCTACATAAGAAAGTTCAAGACCAGTCTACCCTATATAGTGAAATTTTATCTCAAAAAAAAAAAAAAAAACAGAAGGATGTAGAATAATCTTACTTCAATCTGATAAAGGTCATATATGATAAATCTATACCAAACATATCACACTGAATAAGGAAAAACTGAAAGCATTTCCTCAAAACTAAGAAGCAAGACAAGTGTTCACTCTCACCACTTCTGTTCACTATATACTCAAAAATTTAGCCAGAAAAGTCAATCAAGGGAAAAGAGGGACGAGACTATGAATAGGAAAGAAAGAAATCAAATTAACTCTATTTGCATATGATATAATCCCTTATAGAAGACCCCAAAACTACCAGAAGACTCTTAGAGCTGATAAACTAGTTGGGCACAGTAAAAGGTACAAGATCAACACAAAAAAATCAATAGCATTCTGGTATGCCAATAATGAACTCACCAAGGATGAAAGCAGGAAAACAATTCCATACATGATAGCTTCAAAAAATTAAATATCTAGTAGTTAAACTAGCCAAAAAAGAGTGAGGGGTTTAGCTCAGCAGCACAAGCATCTGCCTGCTAAGCGTGAGGTCATAAGTTCATCCTCAGTAGCAAAAAAGACACTAACCAAAAAAGCAGAAGACTACCATAATGAAAATTCAACTCTGAAGAAAGAATTTAAAGAGAACTTTAGAAAAAAGGAAGATATTCCTTGTTCCTATAGACAGAATTAACAGAATTAAAATAACCCTATTATGGAAAGTTCTATAGATTTGCTGCACTTCCTAGTAAAACACCAGTAACACTCTTTATGGAACTAGGGGGGAAAAAATCCCTGAAATTTACATGTAATCAGAAGAGATCCAGCATAGTCAAAGAAATCCTGAGGAAAAAGAACAAAGCGGTCAGGGGTAATAGCAGAGGCGATGGCACACGGGCCCTACCATTATACCCTCCAAGCAGAGACTGGGCTTCCTATTGTATTGCCATGCACTTGTTGCAGAAACAGCCAAGGCTCTGGCTCCAGAGGATGCGGACACAGGAAGCCACTGGAGCAGCCTGGCCCTGAATACATCACCTTCACCTCCTGCAACAGTCCTTGGAGCTGAAGGTATGCGAGGTGATTTCCAGCACACACAGGGGAAGATTTGGACCATCTCTGCCAGTGGGTAAGACCTCGCCCAGCATCCTAAATCACCAGAGGACATCCAGGAGGTCCCCACGGGCATGACTGGGCCATGCCCAGCGACTTCCATCCAGTTCCCAGAGCCAAAGTCCCGTGAGGTGATTTCCAATGCCCATGGGGAAGCTTTGGAACATTGCTCAAAACCTGGAAGTATAGAAAAATTTAAAAATGAAAGACCAAAATGCAATCTCAAATCTCCAGCCCATGCCAAGCAAGCCTAAGAGCATACATAGAAGAAAATGTAAACCATACACAAGAAATGATAACAGCAGAAGTAAAGAAACAACTATGGGAAGCTATAAAAGAACTCAAATCAGAAATAATCTCCCAGGTAATAGAAGAAATGATAAATGCAATGAAAGAAATGATGAATACATCTAGAGAAGACATAGTTTAAAAATTAGAGGAACAGTGCAAAAGGATGGAAATCCAAAGCAAACAATATAAAAAACAAACAGAATACATGAAGCAGATTCAAAGAGATATACAGGAAATAAAAAATTCCATTGAAAGTTGGCAAAACTGTCTCAACAAAAGTGAAGATAGGATTTCAGACCTTGAAGACAAGATTGCAGCTAGTGAACAGGAAATGAAAGACCTTTTAAAAATAACAAGGAATCAGGAAATAATAATTTAACAGCTGTAAGATGATGCATAAAAACATAAGATTGACAGGTATAAATGAAAAAGAAGGGGACAACACAAATGATATCCAGAGGCTATTTACAGAAGTAATAGCTGGAAATTTCCCAAACATGATAATGGAAACTGACATACAGATCAGTGAAGCATATAGAATTCCAAATAACCATAACCAAAATAAAACTGCATCCAGACATATAATAATCAACATCCCAGAAATCCAACATAAGAACAAAATATTAAAAACTGTTAAAGAGACAGATCACTTATAAAGGAAAGCCTATCAGAATCACAGCAGACTTCTCAACACAAACAATGAAGTCAAGAAGAGCATGGAGTGAAGAATTTCAGATCCTAAAAGAAAACAATTTCCAACCCAGAATGATGTACCCTGCAAAAATGTCCTTCAAAATGGATGGAGAAATAAGATACTTCATGACAAAGAACAGCAAAAGAACTTCATGACCACCCTACCAACCCTGCAAAGAATACTGAAAGACATTCTAGATACACATTAGGAAAAACAAACCACTAAGCAAGGAAGACAAATAAACAGAGTGGAAAGGTAAAGAATCAACAGCAGAAAGATAACATGTCAAAAGTAAACCAATATATAACAGTTATAACCATTAGTGTAAGCGGCCTCAATTCACCAATTGAAAGAAGCAGACTGGAAGAATGGATCAAGAAACAACATCCAATCACATGCTGTATACAAGAAACCCATCTAACCCAAAAGGAAATACATAGACTGAAAGTCAAAGGATGGAAACAATATTCCAAGCAACAGGGTCCTAAAAAAAAAAAAAAAAAAAAAAAGCAACGGTAGCTATTCCATTTGCAGACAATGTGAACTTCAAACCAAGAATGATCTAAAGAGATAAAGAAGGTCAATGCATACTAGTTAGGGGAAAACTTCAAGAGGAAGAGATAACAATCTTAAATATCTATGTACCAATTCAGGACCACCCAGCTATAAAAAATAAATATTAACAGAAATGAAAAATCAAATAAGCAGTAACACAATTATAACAAGAGACTTTAACATGCCATTGACACAAAGGGACAGATCAACCAGACAGAAAATCAAAAAACAAATAACAGAACTGAACCACACCTATGAACAAATGGATTTATTAGACGTATACAATGTTCCACCCAACAACATCAGAATATACATTCTTCTCAGCAGTACATGAAACATTCTCAAAAATACATCATATAATAGCCTACAGAATATACTTAAGTAAATGCAAGAGAATTGAAATTATCCCATGCATGTTATCAGATCATAGCACCATGAAATTAGAAATTAATGACAAAAGAAACTGTAAAAACCCCACAAGCACATGAAAATTGAAGAACACATATTGAGTAATCAGTGGGTCACAGAGGAAATTAAAGAAGAAATTAAACAATATCTATAAGCAAATGAAAATACAAATACAACTTAACAGGATCTTTGCAATGCAATGAAAACAGTCCTCAGAGAAAAATTTATTGCAGTGAATTCCCACATCAGGCAAACAGAACAAACACAGATAAACTACCTGATGCTATGCCTCAAACATCTAGAAAAAGAAGAGCAAGTCAAGCCCAAAGCCAAAAGAAGGGAGGAAAGTATCAAGAGCAGAGCAAAAATCAATGCAATAGAGACTAAGAAAACAATCCAAAGACTCAATGAATCTAAAAAATTGGTTTTTGGAAAGAATAAATAAAGTTGATAAGCACCTAGCCAACCTTATTTTTAAAAAGCAAGAAAAAACTCAAATTCATGCAATAAGGAACAAAAAAGGCAAAATCACTACAGACTGTGGAAATATAGAAGCTCATCAACACCTATTTCAAAAGCCTCTACTGTCATAGGTTTGATAACACAGAAGAAATGGACAGATTCCTACAAAAATAAGAAACACCAAAGCTGGGACTGGGGATTTAGCTCAGCGGCATAAGCGCCTGCCTTGCAAGCAGGCAGTCGTGAGTTTGATCCCTGGTACCGATAAAAAAGGAAAAAGACAAAAAAAGAAATTAAAAAAAAAAGAAAGAAAGAAATACCAAAGCTGGGTCAAGAAGATGTAAAACTGGGGCTGGGGATTTAGCTCAGCGGCATAAGCGCCTGC